ACCACAAACTTATCCTAAATATTTTCTTCAGTTACTAGAAAGGGAAAAGCGGATTATTATTGTTTTAAAAAATTTAAACTTATTTTACGAAACATAAGTAGAAGTTAAAGCTACCCATCTTTATTTTTTATTCTTATTTTTTCATTTGGTCACGTTCGATCTCCTCCCTTTCCTTATTGTGAATGAAACCATAACATCCTTTATCTAATAATCAACATCAGAAAAGTTAAAAGAAATATATTTTGGAAGTAGAAAATGATAGAACAAACTTGTTATATGGTTGTTGGGAATGGAAAGAAAAAGAAAAGAGGAAGAAGATTGAAGAGTAGCTAGCTAGGTAGGAAGATGCATGGAAAGAAATGGGTAATTGGGTTGGTTTGGCGTTTTCCAATTTCCATTGCAAAGCGTCCACATCCATTCAATTTTGAGCACGTAGAGTATATATTCCGTAGTAGACAAATGTAAGGAAAGTGGCGTAGAAATGGGACCCAACAATGGATGAGGTGGCAATAAGGATTCCCGTGCCGACCGTAAGCATCTAATGACAAAAATGATTGACGTTGATTCCTTGCAAGTGTGCATTATGGTACATAACACGGCAATTTTTGACCCCACCACTCCACTCCCATGCACAAACACAACCTATCTTTCAGGATTTGCCCATTGCCACTCCACTAGACTACTATTTGCTCTACACTAGCACACACTTCTCATTTTTCACTTCTTCTCTTTATGCATCTATATCTACATGTATAAAAGAAAACAGACATTTCCTTTGCATATTCTTTTGTTTTGATTGCTTTGTTAAACTTTTTTTCGTTTTAAATGTTAGTATGGAAAGAGGGTATGAAACAAAATTAGAATTTGACTGAAAATTTTAATTATAAAACAAATCTTTACAATGTCTTTATTCTTAAAATGGTTTTTGTTCATGTAAGATTCCAGATATTTTGACTAAGAAAGGTTTTTTTTTTTTTTTTTTAAGCCAAAGATCAAAGACCTTTTTTTATAGTGATCATGATGATTCCTCTTCGATTCAGTCCTTAGTCCTTTTAATGGTGGTGTGTACTGCCTGCATCTAGCCTTGACTCTGACTTTTTTTTTGTCTTGATTTTTCCTTTCTTGGACAGGGTGTAATCAAGAATTGTTATCGTCGCATCTTTGTGGAAAAAATTTCAACATCTTAAATACTCATTATTAGCTTGATTTTTGGTATTTGTTGGGTAAATTAACAGGTCTAGCTTGTTTTACTTATGAATTTTATACAAGATTGTGAATTAATTTTTTATATACAAAATAATTGTTTATATAAATAATTATTTTTCTTAATTGACGAATTCTCTCTCTCTGTCTCTCTCTCTCTCTTTCAATTCATTGCCTTCCTAATGATAGGATAACACAAAAAACTGTTGCCTGACAATAAAACTCACCCATAAAGATGCTTTTATACTTTTAATGATTGTCGTAAACCAATTCGATACGTCACACTATTCAAGCACTATCTATCATATGACAAACTTTGATGAATTTATCATGTGTTCATAGTCCTAAACTAAAGATGCAGGAAATTATGGAAACTGAAAAATAAAATCGAGAAGCTGAATAGATATTATGTGATAGATAAGGAGAGATTCATAAAAATATATGTGAATAAATGTATCTCAATCTTTCTTTTCAGTTTTTCTAGTTATTTTAAATATTTCGTATGCATATAACTATAATTTAATGAATTTGTACTCAATGTTACAAGTTTAATTGATTTATTGGTTTAATAGTAACTAAAATCAATAATTTGCACCAGAGCATAATTTTTTTAAAATTACGATTTAGCATTATAACTAAACTATGTAATGTTTCTAATAAAAATTGAAAGTTATTGAAAACTCCAACAACAATGTCTAATTGTCTGTCTTGAAAACCATTTCTAAACTTATTTTAGTTTGTGAACTATATAATGGGGAGATTAAATAGCTGTATAAAAGCAATAATCTTTTGCATTGTTTATGTCAAGTATGCTACTTTTTTATGTACACCGCAACTCCTGCTACTCCCATGTAACAGTAAAACTAAAACTCAACTTTATCCTTAATCACTTCATCATTGCCCTACTGTTGCCTATAATTCCCGTATGAGGTTTTCAATTCAACGAATAAAACTAATGTAATAAATCATAGTATATGTTTGTACCAAAACAATAATATTTTAGGAAAAGAATGTACGTATTCATTAAAGTTGTTGAGAGCCTAATTTTTCAGATTGACATCAAAGAAAAAGGTGTTGGGTTCACAATGCCTAAATCGCCTGACCTAAAAAATAAATAATCATTTAATATAACAGTTTACCATGATGAATTACCACAAAAAAATTACTTTGATCAACTTAGATCTCTACCTTCCTCACATGCACTTAGAAGTACAAACTCAAACGTTAATTCTGCTTATTAAATTTTACTCACTTTAAGATTAATTAATGCAATGAAATTTCCATGCACCCAATGGGAGAAAAATTCCATCTTTTGTCTGAAAGGGAAATCGGATGTGAAGGGCTAAGGCCAATCATAAGCAAGTCAACTTTTTTTATTTATAGTCTAGATTCTCACATCTGACGTGAATTTTGTTATGACAATTGGAAATTACACTTCAATTTTCTCTTTGACATAACATATACGCTACTGTTTCTTCTTGACAACAATCAACCTCACACATTAAAGTCAATTCACAACTTAGGCATAACAATAATAGTATTCTCACTTCAAGATATCGATCAAAGAGAGTAAGATAATGTCTCAGATTTAATAAGTTTTAAAGTTCAAATCTTTATTCCTTTTATTTGAATAAAATAAATATAAATTTTATTAAGATATTTTATAGTAATGAAAATATAATCAAAATATTATTTATAAGACTAAGACAATTTTTTTCTGTCTAAAGTTAATTTTTAAGAACACGTTCGGCCTAATCTTCTTTATGTATAATAATAAAGACTATCCAATGTTAACATTGAATTGCCTCTAAATGATCAGTTTTACAAATTTCATACATTAGAGATATCTAGTTTTGGGGTGAAAAAAAAACTGTTAAAATATCTCATCTTAATTGAAATACCTTTGATAAAACTTAAAAAAATTTACTCTTGAAACTAATTTTTAAGAGTGAATTAAATTCAATTTTTTTTAATGAGTTTCTTTTTTTGGGTGTTTTTTTGTTGAGTCCAAATACTTTACTTTTTGACTTTAAACTAGGACATATGATCCCATATCCTAAAATTGAGAAAAACAGAGAACAATAGTTATCTATCTAACACTGAGAGCAAACTAGGGCATGAATGCAAGATGAAGCATAATAAAAGACAAAAATTTCTTATCGATGAAGAAACGACATTGATATCATCATGGTTGCATTTCATTCCCCATTTATGAGTCCCTACTCATCCAATCTTGAGTCTGAGAGTGACTCCGGCCCACTTACAAAAAGAATATATGTTGTATTTCACTCTACTGCATTTGGGGGTCTCTGCGCCAAGGAAAAAGGGGGTCATGAAAGAAAAAGCAAGGAAAAAATAGACAAAAGAAACACATTAATTAATCAAGCGCCCTCAATTTTGAAGTATTAATTAATGAAGCATTAAAGTTTAAGAGGCAACTAGAAGATTTTGTCTAGCGACTTAGAAAGATATTGATGATAAAGTTGGATAAACATAGCATTTCATGTATTGATGTCATAAGTGTTGGTGCTGTGCCCAAAAAGGATCTGACCACAACTTTAAGCCTTGAATTTGCTGGTGCTGAGTATATTAAAAAGTAAAGCAATTAAAGACTAGCTCCAATTATATATTTATAACATAACACATTATATATGACAATTTTGTAAACTTTCTTTCCCCTTTCATAATGCTTTCTTTCTGAATTACTTGTCTCATCTTTTCTTTAATTACTCCACTTGCCGCATCCTTTGCATAATTGTAACTTGATAAATCCTACATATTAGTTAGTGGGTGATTCAATGGCTTTGTTTCATTAGCAGACGTAAAATTACGAAAGGAGTGAACATTAACATATTTAAACACAATGCATTTCTTGTTTGATTTGAAAGAAAAAAAAAACATGATTCTTTACTGAACAAAATTTAACCATTAATTAAAAAAATCAACAATTGCTGTCATAAATACTTGCATAGTAAAATTATTAATATTTAATATTTTAATTTTATTAAAAGTAAGATGACTTCAAATGTTTTTATTTTATTTTTTAAAATGCCAGCGTTACATTTTCTCTTTTTTCACTTCTGTACCTCTTACACATAAAAAAGAAGAAGAAGGAAAAGGCAAAAGAATTCATTCCCAGGAAATTAAACTTCAAAGACATATTCAATATTATCCAATAATTGAAAGACCTCCATTTTGTTGCATGCTTTTGAAACAATAAATGCATTTTCGTTTTGCCTGCTAGCCTCTTAATTAAGTGAGTGAAGGATTTGCTTTTCCTTCTTTCCAATTTTTTTCTTCTCATGCAGCACTCCCTAGTCATTGATGATTGCATATATACATGAATAGGAAGTGTAGGGCTTTTCTCAATTAGGCTTTTTAAAAATATGAATGAAAAATACTCCAACGTGTGAGGTCAATAATTTATTTTATTTTTTTCATTTTGTACGTTTGAGTATTTAACAATGCTGCCGAGCTTGTCAATCGGTCAGCTTGATGGTTAAGCATAAAATCTTTTCTTTGATTATGTAAGCAGATTCCACCATCACCCTTGAATAGACAGTGATTAGTAATGTTGCCACACACGCATAAATACAGTATAATCATAACTTTTTTCTTTTATTAAATTCCCATCCATGCATGGGAGCCACTATCCCATTTTAATGAACAAATTTACAGACCAACCCATTAAAAAAAGAAGCTTATAGGTTAAGAAACTTCGTCCACTCAAAACCCTAAAAATAAATAAAACAAAAAGAGATGAGAATGAGGGAATAAGCGCAAAGTAAAGGAATTAAAGCCTCTTCCTGCTTTCTTTCCTCCACCCTCTTCCTCTTTAATGCTCTTTTTCCCTTTCTTTCTCTTCTCTGGTATTCCCTTGGTGTGATTCTCCACCATCTCCCTAAAGAGCCATCAAACTTTATAAAAGAAAAACATAAAAGGAATTGAACACCATGGTTTTCTCCTCTATTCCAGTCTTTGTAGATCCTCCCAATTGGCAGCAGGTAAGGTTTTCCTCAAATTTCAGCCACAGCTTCTGAACCCTAAAAAGAAAGGGAAAAAAATTGCAAAAGATAATTATTCCTATTCCTTGTAATATCTCCCTGAATATACCAGATTTTGTTTTCATCACAATAATTTTTCTTTTCTCCTCCCTTTTCTTTTTGATCTGTTTTGCAGCAACCAAACCATCCTCAAGCAAATGGCAGTGATAGCACTCAGCTTCTTCCACCTTTGCCTCCACAGCAACCTGATATGGGAGGTTCTGTGGGTTCAATCAGGCCAGGGTCTATGGCAGATCGAGCTAGGCTAGCTAAGATACCACCACCTGAAGCAGCTCTCAAGTGTCCACGTTGTGAATCCACCAACACTAAATTTTGCTACTTCAATAACTATAGCCTCACTCAACCACGCCACTTCTGCAAGACTTGTAGACGCTATTGGACAAGAGGGGGTGCTCTTAGAAATGTTCCTGTGGGTGGAGGGTGTCGCAGGAACAAGAAGAACAAAAGGAGTCGCTCTAAATCTCCTGCATCCACTGAGAAACAAACACTTTCTAGTTCCACAAGTGCAATACCCTCTGGTGGAACCACTCATGAGCTTATTGGTCACTTGCCACAACCAACTAACCTTCCTTTCATGGCATCTCTTCATCAGAACCTGAACCGTTATGCTGTTGGAAACATGGGTCTCGGCTTGCGTGAGATCCATGGACAGAACGATCACATGGGGTTTCAAATTGGTGGTGCCGGTAATTCAGCTGCAGGTGGAGGAATGGATCAGTGGCGCTTGCAGCAGATTTCTTTCTTGAATGGTTTTGAATCAACTTCAGCTGTGTCATACCCTTTTCAAAGTGAAAGTATTGAAACACCTTCTGGTTTGGTTGGAGATATAGCAACGACTTCTAGGGTTTCTCCGCTGCCACCAGTTAAAATGGAAGAAACTGCAGCGTTAAATTTGTCAAGATCACCACTCAGTGTCTCAGAAAATAACCAATTCTATTCATGGACTGATATGTCAGGTCTTGCCTCTTCTTCCACTAGTCATCTCTTGTAACTTTGACCATATATTCATATGGTCAATATATAATCCCATCATCCGAATTGAACTTCTTCGTTTGAAGTTGAATTATTACTTGTCAACACCGTCCTTGATGGATCAGAGAAATTCTCAAACGATTTGGATGTTCCACTGAACACCTTGCCTAGCTTGACTTCCAAGTTCCAATAGCATCAGTTGACAGAAATTAACGCAGATATGGTAGAATTGATCTTCTTCTTGTAATTTCTGGTCATTGATTTTGGTTTTAGTTTTTTTTTTTTTTTTCATCCAGTCGAGTATTTTGTGTACTATATATATGGGCTTGCCTTAATTGTATAACTGTGTGTGCATGTAATGTTTTGTGTGTTTGCTATCTGACGTTGTAATCTCATTTCGGTACAAAACTTTCTCTTATAAGTTTACTTAACAGCTAACACCTACTGCCAGCTACGTCAATCTCAACTAGTTTTTGGCTCTGCCTACATATGATTATCAGATTCAGATAGCACGATAAAGCACGGATATCAGAAAAGAAAAAAAGTGATGTTGTTTACCGTACTAAAGAATGTGCCACTCCACGTTAGCTTTAGCCTAGGTAGCGTTTCTCGGGATAAGTTTGTTCAAATTTCATGCTCGAGAACTTTATTTTCCCATATCTTGCAGTCTCTATTCAAGTTTTTATTATCTTAATTTGTGAAACACTCTTAATGCAAAGTGGTAGCATTATATACATATCCCATGCTGCATGTCAATTAGTGTTTGTGATACGAATGTTTTGTCATGCATCTTGTAGTGGATATTTGCTATAGTATACACTAGTTGAATAGTTCAAGGTCCATCTGACACCCATATATAAAAAGAAGTTGTTGTGAGTAACTCTTTCCTTCATAATCTTAGTTTCTTTTCTCCATTTTCTTTCTCTTTATCATTATGAGTACTTTAGCCAGCCTTTGCTAGAGCCCAGAAGCTTGTACTAAGTTCTACTTTCTCACCCTCACTCCTTCATCAGTATGAAATTCTTGGAAACTTGAGTGCGACAGTTATTTAATATCCTACAGCTACTCTTTACTTTTCCTCGATCGTGGCAAATTTTGATTCCAAGGAAGCTCGTCCTGTTGTACTTTTAGCAGAACCGTATTGGGTAGTTTTTTTAAAAAAATTTTTGTTAATTTAATTTGGTTTTGACACTATTTCACCGATACTATTAATAGCTCTATAACAAAGAACGTGGAGCGTTGTAGGGGAAAGGGTAGATTGAGAGTGTGTGAGAGAGAATATAGTGAAGAATTTTTATATAATACATTAGAAATTAGTCAAGGGTCAAACTTAAGATGTTGTAATAATCAGATTAGATTCAAAAGATGGGACGTGCATATTTGTTTGATTTGAAGTTGAAAGTGGAAGAGAATTGTAACCATTCTAAGAAGACGCCAAAATCTCACTCAAAATCATGCAATTCTATATTCGACCAAACTTGAGTGGGTGACTGTTCTAGAACTTCTTCAGCAGAATGTTGCAAGATACAAACACGATTATTAATTATGAAATTCCTTTTGGGCTATGTTAATTCCACATTTGAATTTCAAAAAAGAAAAAAAAAGGGATTCTATGGTCAAAGTAACTGTGACCTTTTTCTACGAGTTGTGGTCATTTGTCACCTCTCTCTCTCTCTCTCTTTGTCCGTTTGGAGTGATCAATCTTGCCATTAATCTAAGATTGAACAAAGACACACACAGTCTACAAAGATCTTCCGTGCTAATAATTACAAACTTTATTATAATAATCCCACCGAGAATTAATGAATTATCCAATAAAAAAAGAAGAGGCATCATTGTGGTGATGATAACTTTTGTAAGGACCAATGCTACTACCTTTCAAGAACGAATAAAGCAACAAAAGAGTAGCAGTGACCAACACAGACAAAAGCTCTCTCCGTGTCTTTGGACGGAGGCAGTAAGTAAATGGTTGCCCAGATTCTAAAAATGTCGGTGTGTGTGGGTCTCAAAGAAGAAATATTGCTAGAGTTAAAAGGAAAAGAAGTAAGAAACAGTGTGGGTTAAATTTGCAGTTTTCTCTGCTACGGTACGAATATGAAGGGCTCAGAAATTCATGCATGCTTCATGGAATGGTGTGAACTGCTCCTCTGTGACCTTGTCATTGAACAGTGTTTACGTGCATAATTGGCCAAACCTTCAAGGGTGATACTTTCTTTGTAAAAATACAAGTATAGCTGCAAATACAATTTTTTAATATATTTTTTCATTATTAGTTAAAATTTATTAAAAATTTTAAAATTTATATTAAGCTTTGTTTAGGTAACTTTGTGAATAAATATAACGAGATGATAAAAATAATATTTTTTATAATTTAAAAATAACCTTTTTTTTAAAAGTAAAAAATTTAAATAAAAATAACTTTAAAAAGTAAAAAAAATATAAGTTAATTTTAAGTTATAAAAAATTTTATCTATTTTTTTTATTTTTCTTCTCATATAATAACTTATCTATAAATTCACTCAAACTGAATTTTATTTTATTTTTACTTTTAAATTAATATTATTTTAATATTTTTGTAATTTAATAATTAGGAATATATTTAAATTATGCAATATCCTATATGATACAAAAATTAATAAATAATATTTTTTTATTAAATACTATATCATCTAATAATATTAATCCGTTGTATTAAATTATATTAAATATATTTTATGGTTTTTAATAAGAAATTGTTATATATAAATTTTTATAATGTTATGCGTTGTAAAAAAATTGATATACCTTGTCTATATATATATGTGGGTGGCAAGACTCTAAGTAAAAAGGGCCCTAGAGATATGCTTCCTTTGTCTTGCTTTCCTTTCTTCATCTTCATTGCCCCTATCATCATTTGCATCTTCTTATTCCTTTTCTCCTTCGTCTTCTTCTACTTCTGTGCTCCTTTTCGTTCTACAGATGCGTGGGGACCTCTTCACCCATCATCACTGGCAGAGACCGTTACCAACTTTAGATATAATAAATAGCGTCGATAAATGTATTTTTTGTTCTAATTCATCTCCTTAGTAAGAATGAATTCAGAGATGAAACGAAACTATATATATATACTATGTCACGATCAATGCTTGTAGAGTTGCCTAAATACCATATATAGTAAGTACATCATACTAAACTAAATATGTCGATGCATGCATTATTGAAATGTCGATATCATAGGGAGTAACGAAAGTAAATGTGTATGAATAAATTACTGGACAAAACATTGACCCAGCTTCTTTTTTTTTTTTTTTTATATTGTCCTTTAATTAAAAATGTATTTAAAAGAGTTATGAATTGATATTTATTTTAAAATGTACATATAATTTTATAATATGTTTCAAACATATTCAAAATTTAAAATTTTACTTCAATAATATATTTAATTTTAATATTAATTGTTATTACATAAATAACACTAAAAGTATGTGTAGTATTGAACTTATTTTGTCCTAAATTATTTGTAATAGAATTTTGGTATAATATATGTTAGAAACATGATTAATGTTTATAACATACAAAAAACTTTTGTAGGGTTAAATAATTTGAGCAGGGAATTAGGAAAATTGCATGGAAAAACAAGACGTGAATGAAACGCATCAGGCAGCATCACTTTGGGAGAAACAAAAATGGGAGGCAATCAAATTGAAAACTTGAAGACGAATCCCTCAAAAATCGAAAGATACAGCGAATCACAGGAAAACGACAGCGAATTGGCAAAGTAGGAATAAATCAATTTGGTGGATCTAAGAAGTAGACTTTTATCTGCAAATCTCCAAAATGAAGCGTCACATATCTTTTAGATTTAGATAAATCATATCAGAGTGCATGAATTGCGGAACTAGCTAGGTCGGAATATATATTAGGGAAGTTTTAGTTCTACCTTAGAAGTAACATTTTTATTTTTTTAAATTAATGAGAGTAGGCTTAATAATACATGCCACATCGGTTATCCATTTTATTTTACTTTGTAATTAATGTAATATTTTTATTTTAATAAAAGGGAATTCTGTTTGAGATAAAAACATCCATTTATAATATAGTAAAATTATTCAAAAAAAATTGGTTAAAAGAAATTGAACATCTACTATTTAAATTAACTCTAACTGATTATTAATGTGTAATACGAGGCTTAATTAATATTTTCACTTTTGCTCCAAGCCAAAACTGTACTGTGCCAAGGTGACCAATCAAATTTTAGAAACTAGAATTTTTAGACATCTCTTAACATTAGAAATAACATTTAATAAAGGCATTATTAATTTTTAAGAGAATGTTAATATCATCTTATTTGCTTCAAGTCTTTAGACATCTTATGACATTAGGATAAAATTTAATAATTTTTTAAAATTTTTTAAGAAAAATGTTAACATTTTAAGGTTAATTTTAAACTTCAAACACCTTAAAAAGCCAACAGTTTGAGCCAAAATTCAAACTGCTTACTACTTGGGGCTTACTTTTCCTCGAAGTAGTGAAAATTGTTTGGTTATTTCTTCTAACCTTTGGGGCATGTTTCATGGTCTCAGATTATTAACTCAGAACCAAAAAAGAGAGTAAATCAGCATTTAGCCTTAATTACTTACGTTAGAGATTGTTTATTTACATGGTAAATTTATACAGCATTTTTCATACCACTATTTTTTTTTTATTTTTCTATCACATTACATTTTATTTTATTTTATACAATTTTTTTATAAATTTTTTTAACCTGTGTGCCTAAGGATAAAAAATTAAAATTATAAGATTTTCTTAAAAATAAGAAAATTTATTATCTCAAAATTATAAAAACATTCAATTCAATGCATACTTTTTATAATACTTTAAAGTCTTTAATAAATTATATTTAATATTTATTAACATGTGTCTTTAGACATACATTAAATGAATAAATATATTTACTCACATAAATAATAAATAAGTCTCTCATTAATGCAGATTTTACAAGAATTAAAGATAAATAGAGAATTTGACAATTAATATATTTAAAAATGAGTCTTAATTTTTATAATCTAAACCAAAAAATATTTTGTGGTAATTTTTTTAAAATATGATTAAAAGGAGTATTTATTTCTCTGTTTGTTGTATAACTTTTTGTATAAAACTTTGGAAAATGCTAAGGGCACAGAATTTAAAAATTAAAATAATATTGCCATTACTTATTTTAAAATCCGATACCAACAGTTTTGACCAAAAAAAAGGCATCACTTGTTCCCTTCATACTTCACCTTATGAACTAGATCATTGCGAGGTTTGCTCAAGTTCAAGTCAGATGCCCAGCCCTGTCACCCTCCGTAAATATATGGAAAGGGAACTCGCCACTTCCCTGTTCATGTAGAGACAAACATTCAACATGGGTCAAATGCATTGCCAGTATGTTAATGGCCATGCTTCATGAACCCATGTTAGGACCAAAGATCGTCAAAGTGCCCCAGCATCTCGACCACAACAAGCTAGGTCTCCTTTCCCTAACAAGACCATCAACTATCAATTGTAATTTGCATTTTAGCCAGCCATACGGAGGAAAAGACAAATCGATGTAAGCATTCCATTCTGAATCCTTACCAGGGGGCCTCATTTGAATACGTGACTCATCTATCTCGATCCTAGTCAAGAACAAAAAGGTCCAGTATTTAGGTATTTTCTTCCCTGTTAAACAGCAATTATTATGTCCATTTTACAAACACTAACAAGCAAAAGCAAAGAATTCTCCAATCTAGGCCTCTATCTTGCCCCTTATTGCACATGAATTGCTTTATTCACTCCTATCTTGTGTTTAAGTTCAACTTTTTATTTAATAGAAGACTTGGAACTACAAGAATAGAATTTCAAATCGATAATAATAACTCTAATATGATGTCATGAACCAACATTTTCAAAATCTTAAATTGCTAGATAAAAACATGAATGCCTTTATACTTTTATAACATCGTTAACATCATGTGCTGCGGTACAAATAAACAAAACATCTCTTCGTTAAAATATGAGGATGATTAGAATATAGTACATGTTACAATTATACATTTTCCATGTCAGGCACACCTTGCCCACTTTTTCGATTTCTTCTTACCCCTCTGTATATCACACAGACAAACAAATAACTTATGGAGTAGGAAGGTGATCTTCCACCACCCTTTCCTCCAAACAGATGCTTCTTTCAACACTTTAAAAAGAACAAAAAGAACAAAGTATAACGAGACATCTCAGGAATCATCGATGTTAGCAATTGAAGGTGGTTGGACATCCTCGTTCTGAGATTGACTTTCAGTTTGTGTTGGAACTTCCTGCTGCTGCTCAAGAAACCTGCTCATACGCTCTAGCAATAGTGCAGCCTTCCTTTTCCCTCTGTCTGTACCATTTTGAGCCAATTCCAACAGTGGGACCATCACCCCTAGCTCTTGGGCCTGTGCTAGATATTGTTGATCTCCAGAACAGAGGTGAACTAAAACAGCAGCTGCATTCTCTTTGTTCCTTGGGGATCCATTCCCAATAAACTCGACCAAAACTGGTACTGCCTCTGCAGCTCCAATGGTAGCCTTCCCTTCAGGATGACTAGCCAATATTGCCAAAATAGCCAATGCTTCATCCACCATTCCCCCATTAGGTTCAGTCAGCAGCCGCATCAGTGTGGGAATAACACCAGCCCTCACTGCCTTTCCCTTATTACCCTGGTAAATGCACAAATTGAAGAGTGCTGTTGCAGCATCTTTCTTACCCCTTTGGGTACCCTCACTCAGCAGTATCACTAGCGGTGGTATGGCTCCTGAAGCCCCAATTGTAACCTTATTTTCATCTATAACTGAAAGACTGAAAAGTGTTGCTGCTGCATTTTCCCGAGCTTCCATGCTTCCCTTATGCAGCACTTGAACTATACCTGGAACTGCTCCTGAGGAAACAATGCTTCCTTTGTTATTTTCATGTATGGAAAGATTCAGAAGGGCGGTCACAGCATGCTCTTGAGTGCGGGAGTCAGGCACAGACAGGAGACGGACAAGGAGAGGTATTGCACCAGCTTCAGCAATGGCCACACGGTTATCTGCATTGCGTTTCGCAAGAAGGCGGATTTCACCTGCAGCTAATCTCTGCTCTTCAGGACTGCCAGATGTGAGCTTTTGGAGAAGATTTCCAATCTTACTTCGCTCAGCTGGGGAGCAGGCTGATGCTGATTTACTAGGTTGTGAACTGCTGGGTCGTTTTGGTGGCTCTATGCCATTAGCTTCACACCATTGTGCTATGAGGCTTCGTAAGACATAGTTGGGTGTGAGAACAGTACTAGTGAGAGGTTGTTGTGTTTTTGGGCATGTTCCATGCCCTGCTTGCAACCACTTCTCAATACAAGCACGCTCATAAGTCTGCAGATGAAAACAAAATGTGTTTGAGTGGGTAACATGAAATTATAAGCAGATTGACACTGAAGTAGGGGTAAAATGTCAATAGTGTGAACCAGAATCAGCATATTGCAATTGTATATTACATATCAATTAGAAGAGTGTAATCTAAAAACAGAATTTGCTTCCGTTTCTATACCAAATTTCCAAATTCAATCGAAATTTGTGTTTTAATAAGATCCATGAATATACAAAGCAAATGCACATGTTGCAACCTGTCCAACTTATGTGAAGCTCAATAGCCTCAGAGAAGTAAATTTAAAAACAAGTAGGGATTCATGCTAATGCATTAAAAGAGAGGATCCTCATCCAGAAATAAAGTAGATATTTTCACAAAATTATGCTAGAGCACGGTGCCTTTTGCAGTAATTTACACTCAAGAACACATAAAGAATCATCATATATTCCAATTTGACAAGTCAAGAAGGATAATGACTGACTGCACTTTAGTTGCAACTTAGCTGCCAGAAAGCATCATAGAATGCCCATACCTGTCCAGTTGAAACAATGACAGGATCCTTCATTAATTCTAGGGAAATTGGACATCGAAAATCATCAGGAATAACAGGAGCCTGATGACTCTTTTCATTTGTTCCTAGTCCACTGACTCTTGACGAAATGCCTTTTCCTTCTAAATTATCATCCTTGTCTAGATTTTCAGTTTGCACATAATCCTTTATCTTCTTCAATAACATCGACATTTTCTCAATGTGTGCCCCTGGATCCCCACCACTTGCTGCCACCATCTCATGCAAAGCAAGTGATTCTTGTGTAAGATCAGCTATTCCCATCAATTGCAATTTTTCAGCTAATCGACTTAGAACAGATGGATCTATAGCTGCATCATTGCTGTTGTTGTAAAGAGACAGCATATCCTCATACAACTTGACATCTGGTTCATCAACCCTCCCTTTAGCTCTTTTGAACTGGGCAAGAACCAGCTCAACCTGAAATGAGCGAGAAAATTAAACAAGACTATGTAAATAACAAAACAGCAAAGACAAAGAAGCTCCACAGTGTTGCAGTATCCATTCTAATGTCACAGCTAATAGTAGAAGGTTCAACAAATCGAATCTTGAAAAATAATATAGGCTGAGTAAGATCACTGTGCTGCACACATACAATTGTTAATATATATGTATACAACAACAACAAAAAAAACAACCACCAAGCCTTATCCCACTTCATATATATGTATAATTGAAATATTAATACCTGCTCTTTAACTTCATCTGATATGTCAAGTTGATCAAAGGAAATTGCACCCAATGACTGTTCCAACTGAGTTGTCACCTCATTGAATTTATTCATAATTTTGTCTCTCTCAAGGACCTGAAAACAGTTAAGACAGCTGAATCAACATCTAAGGCAGTAGATGATATTTCATTGGAAACATGTTTCCATAATGTTTTCTCAACCCATAGTTATAATGGGGATTTACAAGCGAAACAGAGCTTCAAGCAACTACAGGTCAAAACAAGCATACAAGACTGCCTCCTATTAAACTGTAAGTAAACTAAGGTTTCCATGTAGACATAAAATTAATACAACACTAGCAAATATTAAGTAAATATTATTTAGATTTCAAATAGTACTACTACAGTAAATTGCATTATTTCATAGTGTTGCATATACCTGGATTAGTTTGACCATTTCAGAGTCCCACAATATAATAAATTTAATAGCATGGGCAGTGTTTTTATTAATTTTGGACACCATTAAAGTAAAATACCCTTCCCTTACTTCTGCTTCTGCCTTTTAACTTTTTTCTGCAAAGCTCCACACAACAGATATAGGTAATCAGTTATCCAAATAACAATGGTTCAAAGCATTTGAACCATGTGACATAATCACCAAACAGCTAAAAACATACCAAAGAAGGTTTGATCAAAGTAAGAGTGCTATTCATGATCCATAGTATATATTAGCCTCTTGTTAACCATAGTAATTAACAAATACACTAGCTCAAAAAGGGGATGTGCACAGTTTTTAACTGCAAGAAATTCACTGCATTCAGAAATCTCCCTCTTTATCTTTATGTGTAAAACTTACATCCTTAAATTTCCCTGTGAAGTTGGGAAAGTATCTCTAGCAAAGAAAGAAAAAGCATATGAAACTCTTGATTCAAGTTCCTATCAAAAGCTTGTATAACAATTGGAAATAAAAGAGAGAATATTCTTCTGTTGATACCCAGGTGCAGCCAGCACGCATCAAGAAACCTACAGGAACCCAGTGTTACATATCGTCCAAGATATTGATCTGTTGCAGCCTTGCAATTTCAGCAAATACGATCTAAAACATGAACACTATACCGGCTCAGCACTTTCTTATCTTCACGATTTCCAAACAACATAAAACATATGCTCAATGTCCAATTAGCAGGAAAAGCCATAATCGCTATACTCGACCAGTACATAAAATAAACATCAAATAGGAAAAGAAAAGCAGAAAATATTCTATTGACTTAAAAACCAAAATTAATTAAAAAATAAACAAAAAATCATACCGAACTTATAATTCAAAGTAGCTTGAAAATTGTTATTGCGGAAATTACTTTCGATCCCATGTTCAATAGAAAGCAGAAAACAAAAGAAAAATCAATTCAGAGTAACAAACCAAGTAAATCTTGCTTCCTTCACTTCCGAATCTGAGGAGTTCCGTGGCGGATTCGAGAGCTTCCTTGAAGGCGAGCATGGCTTTGGAAGTGTCCTCAGGAATCGCCTCTTTCATGTCCGTAATCTCTTCGAACAACGGGATCAGCAGCTTCAACCTACGCGCCAAGTTGCAGTACTGCTTCTTCACCGTAGGCCTGTAATCTGAGATGCTAGCAATCTCATTCACCAACCCAATCACCGCGCTCGCTTTCTCATCCTCCATGCTTGCTCCGCGCCACTTCCCCGAGTTTCACAGATCACGCAATACGGCAACGTTTAGCAGAAAAACCTTGCAACTCGCCGGAGATCCAAGTCGCTGGTCATAGTCACCCGTCAACGACACAGAAATCTTCAGCCACTGTGATTTTATGGGAGAGGGAGAGGGAGAGAGAGACGCGCAATGACTACTCTTTCTAATTCTAAATCTCTTTGTGGCGCGGCTCAAGCTGAGTGAGCTAACCAAGATTGAGAAGGTAACCATGTGACTCAGCTCGGCTTCGGCTAGTACAGCGCTGAGTGAACGTGATGTTCAGTTAATAATTCAGTTTTAAGGAACTACGGTAACTCTCGTATAACAATATACTATCATAATTTAAATATGATTTTTTTCTGTATTTTTTAAAATTTTGATATTAGTTTCTTTCATTATTTAAAATTCAATAGTTTTAATTCTTAACACGACTTTTAAAAAAATTATAAAAAATTTAATTTCATAAAAATACAAAAACTAAAAACATATTTAATTTACTGTAATAACACGACAACGAAAACAAATCATCAATGGCGACGGAGCAAATCTTGCCTTTGACTGTCAATTTTAAGGTTGGGAGAATGATAAAAAATTGTTTACGGTGAAGTTTTTCCATTACTATCGTTGTATTTTTAAAAAAAAAATTGATAATAATATAATTTAAAAAATGATCACGATCATTTGAATTTTTTATTTTTTTGTCGTTCTCCTTTTATCTTTTTTTGAAGAAGAGTAACTCTTAGATAGCTCTTAGGACAGCCAGATTTATATTAATTTTATTGTTTTTTTTTGTGTATTGCTTACTTTTTTTTTATTATTAAGTAGTTAATTTATTTTTTTTCTTACAATTTCTAAGACAATCTTTTGTATACTTATTTTTATGATTATTTTTAAAACTATTCCAAAATTTTTGTATCTCTTAAAATTGAGTCATATTATTATTTTATACTTTTAGCTTGAAATGAGTTAAGATTACAAGAAATAGAACAATTAAGCTCAAAGAAGTTTAAATAATAAAAATAATACAAAGTTGACTTTTTAGCTAGTAGTTTACAAAGAAAATAATGTCTCTATCATATCAATGCAAGCATATAAAAATATAGTTTCAAAAAGGTTAAAGACAAGTTCTAATGTCGTACAACTATGAGTGCAATCACACAATAAAAAAATGTATAATGATATAATTTTGTCATCTATATCAATAGCTCAAATCCTCACAAGGTATATATTCTATCACAATTGATCCAACACACAAAATTTTTTAAAATCCATCTATAAAATCGAAGAATAATTCAATCAATCCATCAAAGTCAAAAACATAATACTCCCTTCACTTAAAATTAACATTATTCTTAATGGAAACACAATAAGCACAAGGACAATAATAACAATCCAATAAATAAGATAGTGATAAGAAAAACTCCTTTATCAATCGGAGTAGGTGGCCAACTCAAGGATGGCCTCCCTCCAGTGAATGTTCCTGCAAATTTTCATGAAAAAGCTTGAGCCAATGTCTATTAACCTTGAAGCTCATTTGAAATTACTATTTTTTAATTAAATAAACTATAATAGGAAGTGCAATAAAGTTTTTTTTAATTATTTTAATTTTAATTTTTTATATTTTTTTTAAAAAAAGTTTATTTTTTTATAAAAATTGAAAATTTAAACTAATCTATCTAAAAAAAACTAATCCTATCTTTAAAAACAAAGCAAACTAAATCTAGTCTAATTAAAACAATCAAATCTTAACTATAATTCAAAATTCAAATTTAAATATATTAATCTAACCTAAATTAAATGTGAATGATCCTTATCCTGCTGCTCCTCAAATCTTTATGAAATCTTTGCAAATCACACAATTCTACAACAATCCTATCAATCCAATTCTCTAAAAATTCAAAATTCAATTTGCAATTCAAATTTAAAATGCACTAAAACAACAAAATTTAATAAAACAAAATTAGAAGACAAGAAACAACGAAATCTTATTTAATGCAAAAAAATTAATTTTATTCAACCTTATTAATGACAAAAATTAAAATTAGATACACCTAAACAAACAAACAATGCCGAATAAGGAAAAAAATAAAAATATACCAACTCGCAGACAAAGATAAAAACAAAAAAACAAAACTACGAATCAAAACAATAGAAAGCGATAATAAACTCTAAAACAAATCAAAACTGACAACGTATCCTCGGTAATGGCGCCAATTTGATAGACGATGTTGAATATGTAACGCTCCGAATTTTGGTAATATTATTTATTATTATTATTATTATTATTATTATTATTATTATTATTATTATTATTATTATTATATATATATATATATATATATATATTCATATGTGTGTTAATTTATTTGATAATGATGTTTATGTGTATTAAGTATATGAATGTGTGTATTTATGTGTACGCATGACTGGATAGGACTGAGATGGGCTAAGTGCCTGAGTGTAGGGCGTGATACTGGGCTGTTCTCGCTATAGCGAGAGGGCCTGAGAGGGAGGACCAGAACTGTCGTCTTCTCGCTGTAGCGAGAGACGTCTCGCTGCTGTAGTGACAGAGCGACAGTTTGGAGTGCATTTCTGGGTGCAATCTCACTGTAGCGAGATTCTGCAGAAACTAGAGTGCAGTTTCGTCTGATATTTTCGCTACAGCGAAAGTGTCGCGACCAAAAAATGATTTAAAAGGGGTTTAGGGTTTGAGAAGTTATTTCTCAAAAATTCCTTCGAATCCCTCGACCCAGAATCATTTTCCACCGATTAAATTACCTCCAAAGCCGTTCGGGAGCTTGATTGAAGGTTGAATCCGTGTGGGGAACACTTAGAGGTGAGTTTTAATGGTTAGAGTTCTGTTTCTCATCCCCTTTTCTTGGTTTCTTGGAGTTCTCATGGAATTCTTTCATATGTTTAGGCCGTAATTTGTGTAGGGAGCACGTCTGTGGTCAAATCTGAGTGTGAGTCTTCAATCTGAGGTAAGGGAGAATTCTACCCTATTTTAATATATTGTAATTCTTGTGTATTTTGATGATTAATGCAATGTGGCTGAGATAGAAGATAGAAATTGTGTGTTTGATGGGAATTGATATGCAAGTGATTTGTGATAGAATAATTGGACCCCGTGAAGGTGATTGTGTGTGATGGAATGCCATTGATTGGTGAATTAATGATATTGTGAATAAATGTGGACTATGTGCTGTGTAATGTGAAATGAATGTGGGCCTAGTGCCGTGTATTTGAGTGTCATATGGGCTGTGTATCGTGTGTAAGCATGACTATTGCATGCGTGAATGAAATATGTGTGAATGAGCGTGTTAGCGCTATTGTAATGTACTATAAATGATTCAGCGATACACTGGAGATGTGAGAGATGAGGACGGTAGAAATACCTTGGGGAAGAGGGAGTGGTGGTGACACCGACTGCGGAATGGGTGCACTACGGGCCACACACTCTCTTTCTTACTAGACCTTTGACTACTATCTTTGTTGAGTGATCCGTGACTACCCACGTGGTATCCGTGAGGCGAGAGTAACCAGCGACCATTCATGGTATAAATCTGTTATCACAGTGCTACAATGAATATGGCTGACGTGCATATGCATGAGTTTATGAATTATACTTATAGATGCGGAATGCTACTTGTGAATGTAATTGTTTAATGTATTGGAAAAGTACTGGAAGTGAGACTCTATGTTGACTGTGTATTTTTAGGTAGTGTAAAATACTCACCATTACATTTATTTTTCAGGTAATCAAGACGATCAGCACCAGACTTAGTGAAGGGACAGATGGACTGCTATAGGACTTATATTTTATTTTGAAGTTGTTGTAATCGAACTAGTCTTGTAGCAGTTATTTGATATTAAACTGTAACCCTTCACTTATTTCAAAATCTTTTATAAAAATTTGGTTATCCGATTTACGAAATTATTATTTAATTGAAATTAAATTTAAAGTGTTACAGAATCTCTATCAAAACAACTAAGTTTTCTAAAGATTTTGTAGTATAGAGTCAAACTTAAGTCGATTAACAGAGATACATTTTCAATCAAATTTAATTTTAGATTTTGTTTTAAAGAATGCAAATAAGGTTTTTTGGAGTTTTAAAAATTGTAAATTAATTAAATTAAATTACGGACAGAATTAAAGTGAGTAAAAATGAATTAAGAAACATCAATGCATAGAATACCAATTACGTGTAACTTCGGCTATCACAATATATAAATATTTAAATTCACGTTTGAACAATCACCCAATTTAATTATTAATTCAATCGAATAACCTAATTGAATAGAATTACGAATTAAATCAAATAATCATTTAACCTAATTCGTTTTAATTATCAAATCAGAGCATCAATCGAGTCCTAATTTAAATTCTAACAACAGAAAAGTAAATCACGATCTCAATATACAATTATGAGACTAGAGAGAAAAGATAACAAACTCGAAGCAATTTAGCGCATAACTCAAGTCGGAATTACAATGTTTGAATTCCACAGATTGAACGAGAGATTTAGCCTTCCATCGAAATGGTTACCCTACGCAAGAATAAGAAAAGAACAAGAGAGATCGAGAGAAAGTAAAAATAAGGATTCTTATTTCGGCCAAGTCTCAAAATCTCAAAGTGTCTAATCTCATGCGCAAACGCGCGCACCCTAATTAAGAATTTCATTAGTTTATTTATAGGTTTTGATTAGGGTAAACTAATTGGCCAAAATTCGGGCCTCAATAATATCTAAAAGCCTAAATGCAATTATTAAATAACAATGGTCCAAATAAAATTCTGCAAAAATATTCAGCAAATCTGTCTCAATTTTTAAAAATAATAAAAAGCAAAAAATAACTCCAAATCTGGCAGTCATATATTCATTTTAAAGCTCTAGATGTGTAAAATTTAATGCAATTAGAATCGGCCAAAAGCAATATCTGTAAAAAAAAGTTATGGTTAAAAGAGTAGTGAGAGGTTAGAATTATCAAAAAATAAAAAAATAAAAAAATTTATTTGTAATAGGTTTAATTTATTTCAATAAAAAAATAGTAAATAAAAATAAAAACTATAAATCTAAATATAAAATATGTTATATCACCTGTGTATTTGAGTTTATTAAACGGCTTTACTAGCTA